GGGGTGAACTTATTTTTAAAAAGTATTTTTTTGGGGGGGAGAGGGGTGGGTTAGTGTTATATCATGGTCTCTTTGGATAAACACTTTGACGTTAGGTCGATTTTAATCAGACATCATCCACTCCTCCACCCCCACCCCTTTTTTCTTTCCAAATTTGGTCAGTCCCCGCATCTTACTTTTTCTATTCCCAAGGTTTTAAAAAAAATCTATTTATATTGGGAATGGAGGAAGAGGCTGGATTATACCACTACGCTCTTTCGGGATAAAAATCTTAACGTCATGTCGTTTTGGAAAAAGAAAGCTGCTGCAAAACCCTTCGACAGGGGATGAAAAACTGGAAAATTGAAGATTTATGACAATTAATTCTTTGCCTACCCCCTACATGCCAAAAGGAGTCTATACAACAGTTAATATTGCTTCAGAGATGCCAACTGGCTGCAAAACACTTATCTAAAATAATAATAATAATAATAATAATAATTATAATTATAATCTAAATAAATAAAATAATAAAATAGTAATAATAATAAAAAGAAAACGTTTTTCCAGAACTTTTCGGATCCCTTTCGCAGGTACTCCAAATTTATAGGTCAAAATGGCCACTACATCTAAAGATAAAGATAAGATGATAGTTTGCTGTCCCAGTGGGGAAGTTATCGCTATAAAGGTCTCGGAAATAAGGTCTCCTCTCTGTTGTTGTTGTTGTTGTTGTTGTTGTTATTGTTGTTGTTGTTGTTGTTGTTGTTGTTGTTGAACAGTGCTCGCCCCTCTTACTCTTACGGTTCTGACAAAAGATCCACACCAGCACAACATCTTCCTAGGTTGCTTTTTAAGAAAATGTTTATTTCAAATCCTTTTTTTGTTTGTTCTTAAATTAATTTTCTTTCTCGGGAGGGGGGGGGGGGTATTTTTGAAAGGGGTTTCCCTTGAGCAAAAAGACTCTCAATTCTTTAACACGGAGCAGATATGAATAATACTCCAATGCGACATGGCTTTACGTACTTAATTCGGACAAAAAAAAGAAAAGGAGGTAGTTATTTTATCCCCAGAATTCCTCATTCCTAAAACCTATGAGAAATTATAGCAATAATAATTGTTCTTTACGTAAAGATCTGTGCATGGGGCGAAAACGTAAGATCTCCATATACATGTATAAAATATAACAGTAATTTCAGTTCTTGAGGATTGCTGAGAGAGGTAAAGAACTGTTCATATATAGATATATATTATATATATATATAACAGAATGAAAACGACACTGCAATGCCCCTGTCATTCCTATGAAAAACACGAAACAGAAAAAGTACCCGTCTAACAAAATCTACAAGCGATTGTACTAGGCATGGAACGGTTGCATTTGCTCTGATATCGACATATCAAATACACACCAAACAAATCAATAAAAACTATTTTTAAAAAAACATTGAAAAAAAAGACATACAGGAACAAAACCTATATTACGTTATGACGTCATAATGACGTAATACGTGCGAGACGAGAAGGGGGTGGG